GTATACCCAAAACCCCTGGCCGGGCCTGTCTATAACATTGACGAACAAACAAAGAAATAGAGAAGAAAAATTTCCGAATACTGGAACTAGTTGCGGAAAAGAAAACGTAAGCAACAACGAACGTGAATAAAAACGCGACAAACTACAGGATATGCGAAGGAGCACGCATGCAGAAAAAACACGGACCGCAAAGTATAGAAAATGTGAAATACAAGACCAAAATGACGCGCCGCACGTGAGGACAAAAGAAGCAACACACCACGAAAAACGATCCCAAAAGGGAGGAACGACATACTGAATAAATAAGAGCAGAAGATGCCAAATACTAGACTGAAAGTGACACACACTACGAGAACTAAATTAGGAGCAGAAAATACCATAAACAAACCAGCCTGAAAGGGATACGCGCTATAACGGCTGAGGAAACCTAAGAGCGACACACGTTACAAAAAGTAGTCTGAAAACATGCCGCTAACCTTAAGGCGACACACGCCATGACAGCAACGTCAAGGTGGTACTTGCCCGGGCAAGTGGTAAGCGACACGCGCTGTGAACACTAAATGGAGAGCAAAATATGAAAGACACCATGAAACTAGAGTGAAAGCGACACACGCCCGAAACGGCTAACCGGAAGGCAACACACGCAGTAGAAACAACCTAAAGGCGACAAACGCCGTGGAAACAACCTGAAGGCGACACACGCCGTGAAAACAACTTATAAACGACACACGCTAGAAATGGCTAACTGGAAGGCGACACACGCCGTGAAAACAACCTGAAGGCGACACACGCCGTAAAAATAACCTGAAGGCGACACACGCCAGGAAAACAACTTATAAGCGACACACGCTATAAACACAAAATGGAGAGCAAAATACGAGAGACACCATGAAACTAGTGAAAGCGACACACGCCAGAAACGGCTAACCGGAAGGCGACACACGCCGCAGAAACAACCTAAAGGCGACAAACGCCGTGAAAACAACCTGAAGGCGACACACGCCATGAAAACAACTTATAAGCGACACACGCCATGAAAACAACTTATAAGCGACACACGCTAGAAATGGCTAACTGGAAGGCGACACACGCCGTGAAAACAACCTGAAGGTGACACACGCCGTAAAAACAACCTGAAGGCGACACACGCCATGAAATCAAACTTATAAGCGACACACGCTATAAACACAAAATGGAAAGCAAAGTACGAAAGACACTATGAAAGTAGTGAAAGCGACTCACGCCAGAAATGGCTAACTGGAGGGCGACACACGCCGAGAAAAACCAACGTGAAGGCGACACATGCTGAAACAACTGAAAGCGACGCACGCTATGAAACAACCCGAAGCGACACACGTTATGAAATGAAATGGAGAATGATACCCGCCATGAAATCCAGTCTGAAAGCGACTCACGCTATATAAGGTAACTCGAAGGAGGTATTATAGCCGGGCGAACGGCTTCCAAAACATAAGGAAGGATAGCGTCAGGAGCCTAGGCCATGCTCAGCGACGAAAACCGTAGCGGCACACAAAAAACGCAAGTATATATGCCATCTCGGGGCATGAACGCATAGAAAAGCCATCTGATCAGTGATCCTGATGTTGACAAAGCATTTAAATACCACGCTCAATACCCAGGGGTAATGCAAGGGTCCCAGGAGGGAAAACGTGCTAAATTATGGGGCCCGCGTGCCCATTTCGGAGCAAACATATCAATGAAAATAGCAGGGCCGCTTCGCACACATTCAACGAGAAAAGCTTTACTCAAAGAGTTTTTCTCGCTAAAAAGGTGAAAAACATTTCGGAAATGGAGTGGAATAGTTTCGTTTGTTTCACTGTCGATAAAGAAAACGGTAGAGGGCCGGCGAAACAACGGCGGAAAGGGAAAAACAGAACGAGACGTAAGCTTTTGTTGTGCTTTTTGTCGGAGCTACTTTGCCTTTCATTTAAGCTTAAGCTTATATTGAAACCGGCCATTTTACTTAAATTTACTCATTTTCAGTTGTGCATTGAGAACAAGCAGTTAAGATTACTTATAGTTCTTGGATTGCCTCATATCCTTACCGTCATTTATGTTTTTAACAAACGTTTTTACTTAAAAGCTGATACTTCGTTTTCGTTGTCATTCTGCGGTAAGTGTGTAGCGCCAAATTTTAGCATTTTTGAAAGATTTAAAATAAAAAGGCCGCCAAAATGATGAATGTCTCAGTATGTATATAATAAACACAATACCACATGGAAAGTGCTGGCGTACGGTATTTACGCACGAGTTGTTTTTGTATCAGAAATCTTACTCGTTCGCTGCGCTCACTCGTTCGATATCTGATACGTCAACAACTCGTGCGTAAATACCGTACGCCAGCACTTTCCATGAAGTATTCTCTATTTATATATAATATACATATTTATACCACAAGTGAAGAGTAAAACAATATGTTTTTCGTCTCTCACCTATATTTCGACCGTGTTAAACGGCCTTCATCAGGGTGAATGGCCGTTACAAGCATCACACACCATTAGCGACCTTTGGTATGACCGATTGGGGCCTGGAACGAGAACGTCGTCCACGGCGGTATTTCGGCGGGAAACAAAAACATTTAGCAAACCGGTAACGGTACGTGGACGAGTCTCTTCCCACAGTGAAAGTCACCAGGGAAAATGTCTGTCAAAGAATTTCGTGACCTCCTTGTACTTCTCTACGGCTATGAAATTATTTCCGATGAAGAGTTTTTGCTACTTTACGATAGTTTCATCTCAAAGAATCTAGATTTTCCCCATGGAAACTATCAACGGTTTGATTTGGATTCTATGAACTCCGCGGAGTGCAAAGCAGAGTTTCGTGTCGAGAAACACGATCTCCCTCGCCTTGTTGCAGCCCTCCAACTACCACCGGTGTTTATATGCGAGCAGAGGAGTATTTGGGACGACATGGAAGGCCTATGCATACTCCTCAAACGAGTTGCCTACCCATCCAGACTCAGTGATCTGATTCCGCGATTTGGCCGACCGGTTTCTGTTATAAGCCTGATCTCAAATGATGTTATCGACTATATTTATGATGTTCATGGGCACCGTATAACACAATGGAATCGAGATCTTCTAAATCTTGGGGCTTTGCAGCGTTATGCAGAAGCTATATCAGGAAAAGGAGGCCCCCTTGATAACTGTTTCGGTTTTGTAGATGGAACAGTCCGACTTATTTCAAGACCAAATGAGCGTCAGAGAATTGTGTACTTTGGCCACAAGAGGGTCCACGCGTTAAAATTCCAATCCTTGTCCCTACCAAATGGACTTATTGGCAACCTATTTGGACCAGTTGGTGAGTTCGTAATAAAACGTTAGTGTTTTAAACTTAAAGAACCCCCTTCCCCGCCCCCCCCCCCCCCCCCGAAAAAAATTCTCTTCTCATGCTCGATTTTAATTTCGTTTCTAGAGGGGCGTAAACACGACGCAGGGATGTTAAACGATTCTGGACCACTGCGGGACCTGCAACAGTATTTCTATAATCCAGCAGCTCAAGCTATGTGCATTTATGGAGATTTGGCCTACCCTCTCCGAGTTCATCTCCAAACACCGTTCCGTCGTGTCCCACTTACACCCCTCATGCAGGATTACAACGAGGCTATGAACGCTTTACGGATTTCTGTAGAATGGTTATTCGGTGACGTCATTAATTCTTTTAAATTTCTAGATTATAAAAAGAATTTGAAGATAGGCCTTAGCAGCGTCGGTAAAATGTATGTTGTCTGCGCACTTTTCCGTAACGCCATTACATGCCTTCATGGTAATAACACCAGTGATTATTTTGGTATTGAACCCCCTTCCCTGGAACAATACTTTCAATGAATTGTAGTCTAGCTGTACTGATTTTGATGATGTATTTTCTCCTTCCTCGATAATATTCAGTTTAATGGGATGTAAAATATAGACTGTAGGAAAGAAGGAATTATACTTTAAAAAAGCACCTTCAATGTTCAGGAAGAAAATAAAAGAAAACGACACACATGCAAGTTTTGATTTATGTGGTTGCTATGGAAATGCAAATGTCACATAAACATAATGGCACAAACGAATATTTCCAGATGAATTTGGTGCCTATAGACCAATCCATCAAAAAGTTAAAAGATTCATTCAAACCCCCCGCTTCATAGCCCTAGGCTTAAAAGGAATATACAAATAATTCACAAAGCCGGACACTGAGCAATAAGATGCTAATGTTTCAAAAGAGTGCTAAAAAGGGTATGTGTATTTTATTCTTATTTCAATGTTTTGCTCAACCTATGCTCAAATGTAAGAAAATGGAGCACATCCTAACACTAACGTTCTAAAATTTCAAAGGACAGCTTAATTTAACCCTTTCACTCCCAGTGTCTAAACATCAATGTACTACTTTCTTTCTCACGATGATGTTTAAGACCATGTTTTTATACTAGATGCCACTTATCTAGCAGCAATGATTCTTATGTGATGTTACTGCAAAAGTTTGCAGCATTTTAACAGCCATTTGATAGTTAATTTGAAGTTTTAATTCATAACTTCTATATCCTTGTGAGTGAAAAGGTTTACTTAAGTTATCTTAGCTTCAACTATGTATCTTTGATCACTGTAAACACTGCATTAAGAAAATTCCTTTCTCCAGAGGTGTAAACAACCCATCAACCTTTGAAGTCGAGGTGAAGAAAAACTAATCACCAAGCTGGACAGGCAAAGTCACCAGAAAAAAAAGAGACAAAATTATAGTTGGAAAATAATCAGTTAAAAATTATGATAACAACAACATGGCTCTAAAAGGCTGAAAGGGCCAAAGGTTGACAATTTGATTTTCAACTGCTGTTTTGCCTTTGCCAGCTCTTATGAGGATTTGGGCATTACTTTTTCAAGTAAACTCATTAACATTTGACTCTGTTGTTATTGCCGCTGCAGGAAAAGCATTTGAAAGTTCTGTAGCTGCTGTTCCTGCCTCTGCTGCTGTTCAGCCATCATCTTCATTACATCCTGGTACTGTTGCTGGTTCTGCCTCTGCTGATCTATCAGCATTTGATGCTGAGCTGCTTTATTTTCTTGCTCTTTCTTCTTCAATTCCATTTCTTCCTTCCGGAATTCCTTCTCATTCTCAAATTTTTCTTTTAGAATTTGCACAGCTTCAGTGGTACTTCTTCTGCTTTTTGGTTTGATAGCTTCATCACATGAATCAGCATTCCTCCTTTTTGTTTGCCCCAGCGGCTCCAAGGCTTTCAGCCTACTTTCTTCTGCTGATGCCTTGTCGTTTTCATTCTTCTTGGTGAGAGTGTTCGTGTTTTCTTTCCTTTCTAAATCAGCTGCCTGTTCTTTTTCTATGATTTCAGGCAATGCCATCTCCAATTCTGTTTCCTCGTCACATTTCATGCCAGAACCCTGCTCTCGTTTCTCACCTTTTCTTTGTACTTCCTCAGCAAAAGAGTGAGCCTGTCCCTAACAGACCACGTTCTTACGGTACATTTGGGTACAGTGAGCCCATTTAAGTTTTGTGCTACTTCTCCCCAGATTTCTCCTCTCTCTCTACTTTGCTTTGGGTGCTTAGCATGAGATCGTGCTCATCTGACCACTTCATGGAATAATTTCTGAACATAAAGGGCCAATAATTATATTTTTACAGTCAGTGTTAATACTGGTAAGCTTACAAACTTTTGATTCCACATTAATTGCCTAAAACGATTTCTGTGCTGCAGTAAAAATTATTTGTAAATAAACGTTTTTTTCTCGAGGTGAAAATCAGCACAGAGTAAAACATGACTGTAGAACGATTTAAAAAAATCTTCATGTGCAAAAATTAACGACTACAACAACTTGGCTTTGAGAGGGCTTTATGTCAGCAAAAAAGTGAGGTAAGTTTATTCAGAGTTTAGCTCAGGTGGATTCTTACCTCAAATGTATTTACACGAACAGTTTAGACTTTCAAAGACAAACAAAACTTCATAAAATCCTGACAGGATTTATTACAAAACTGTTATCAAATGCGGTTTAAATAATACAACTTGCATTTATAAAAACGCTTGAAACTTACCCTGATGTTCCTGCTGTATCCATCACTTCTTTGACCGAGTGCAGTTATACTAAGACTGTCAAATTTTTCCTGCAACATCGAAAAAATAAGGGTTTTTTACTTCACAGCAACAGGAATAACTTACGGCTTCTGTCTTATCTACTAAGAAAAACCTTGGGATTCAAGAAATTGCAAAATTAAGTCAGAAAATATAAGGAAATAAGCCAAGCAATACTCACGTTCACCACAGGACGGCAGATGGCGTCCTCAACGAGGTGTGGACGACGAACTCGTGCACGTTTGGGCATGCGTGGTAGCATCGTGGTTCGTTTTCCAGCTTCCGGTAGTTGACGTTCACGTGCTCGTCGTCGCTGCTAAAGGTCCCTATTATTACATGGTAACGAACAAATTTGAAAATTTGCACGTGCTACAAAGGAAGATAAACACGCGCGCGCTCTTACCGGACGCGAGACCTAGTCGCCCTATTCTGGCTGTAAAAAAAATCACTTATATTCAAGCCCTGAGGCTGAATACTGTTCAACCTATAGGCTGGACACTCTTTCAATTAACTGTATACTAACATCCTCAAGATCATGGTGTCCCGGGTCAGAAAAATGTTTATATAAAAGATCATCCTTGTCTCTACCCTCAAAAGAAAGCCTTGAATGCGCTCTAAAACGGGCCTTATGGTTGTTAAACCTAAGCCTAAATTTGTTGTTGTTGACCCAACGTACTGCGCATGACAAACCTTGCAGGACAACAAGTAGACAACATTGAGCGAGCGAGATTGAAAACCAGAGAGGAAACATTGGCACCACGCCCTAGGAATGCGGTTGGATCGCGGTTCTGTAACTAAAAAAAAATTTTACCACCTTTAAGGCCATCCCAATTTAATGCTTCGTTTCCCATCGCCTGACCGACCCATTTTTTTGGAAAAGAAAAAACAAAATTCCAGAATCACTTGTAAAGAAGCAAGTACTTTAATTTACAAGCACACGATCTTGTCTTATTAACACCAATTTTGAAACACTTAAATTATCATCGATACTTCGTTTTTGTAGCCTTTTTGGACATTTGATAGTCCTGTTAATATACATCTTTTACCATCTGATTATATCTTGCAGACTAAACGTGAGATTTAATATGCAATCATGTGCTTATTCTTCTTTTTTTTTTTGCCCGACCGACCGAACCACCTTCACGAGAGGGAGGGCGATGGGAAACGAAAGATTTTATTGGGATGGCCTTAGTGAATATTGAAAAAAGAAAAATCGCTAAATTGGGCAACTGATATCTTTTATTTTACACCTTTTGCTGTTCATTACGAGAAAATACGCATTCATTTCCGTAAAACGGCGACCAGCAGCGCGAAGATACATTCATTAGCGCAAAAGAGCGAACATTTGCGCATAAATCAGATTCAATAACGAATTTGGCATTTTAATCAACATTCAATAACATTTTTGGGCATTCATTTGCGTCATTGGGCATACAAAAGAGAAAATATACTTTCATTAACGCCAACATTCGAGTCATTAATATTATCTTGAAAATCATCAGGGACAATAGGCAAACATTTAAGTGCAAATGCTATTCATTAACATTCTTCTGACACTGTTTGCAATTCAATAGCATTCCTGGACAGCTTTAGAATGGATAAGACAAACATTAATGCGCTTGTACAATCAATTGAACGTTCTTTACATTTAATATACAAAAATATATTTTCAATTAAACAATACCAATTCCCCCCAAAAAAATTGGCGCGAATTTGTTTAAAGAATCACGCCGTACTTCGCCACTGTGTGTTCGTCGACGGCTGCGGCTATTCATTTACCTTCGACGGCCAGAAGTCATGGTGGGGCGCGACAGGGAGTGGAGGGCGTACCGTAAAGTGTGCGGCCAACGAGGATGAAACTTGACTATAACCATGGCAATATTACCTATCAAATGTTTTCCTTGGCAGCTGCTAGAGTAAAGAATACTGTGTCGGTTTTTCGGTGACTTTCTGGCACGGGCGAGGAAAAAATGGATCCCGATAAGTCGGTGGTCTTTGCGTATGACGGGGTGGCAGCCCACCTAGATTTGGCCATTCCCGCCCCATACGTACACAGCTTATGCTTCCCCCCTCGACATCGTTGAAAAGGATTTACGTTGTCTGGAAGCGACATCAAAGGCCGACATCTCGCGTCCGGAAATTTACAGATGTATAACAGGAATGAGGGTAAAGCCCTAGCAATCTCACTGGCGGAGTTCGGAAACATCAATTGCAGTGCTTGAAGCTCTGCGCAGAAACATGACATTGTGACCGCAGCTAAATGTGCTAAAGGGTACCATTTCATGCAAACCTACCTCCCCAACTATGTTTAAATAGCGAGGTTTTTGAGGGATATACATTTAAACGACTGAAATTCAGGCCAAATTTGTTTGAATTTCTGTTGTTTAATTGAAAACCGATTTTTGTATATTAAATGTAAAGAATACTCAGTTAATTGTACAAGCGCATTAATGTTTGTCTTATCCATCCTAAGGTTGTCCAGGAATGCTGTTGAATTGCAAACAGTGTCATAAAAATGTTAATGAATAGTGTTTGCACTTTAATGTATGTCAGTTGTCCCTATTGACTTTCAAGATGGTGTTAATGACTTTGATGTTGGCGTTAATGAAAGTATATTTTTTTCTTTTGTATGCTCAATGACGCATATGAATGCCCAAAAGTGTTATTGAATGTTGATTAAAATGCAAAAATCGTAATTGAATCTGATTTATGCGCAAATGTTCGTATTTTCGCGCTAATGAATGTATCTTCGCACTATTGGTCGCCGTTTCACGCAAATGATTGCGTATTTTCTCGTAATGAACAGCAAAAGGTGTACTAACAAGCTAAACGCCAACACACAAAACAAAAACCTTGCTATCGCCATTATGAAGTCGTCACTTCCTTAAAGGTTCATAAAAGTTCACTCTAAAAATTTGCATGCAAAAACAAAATTTATAAATCCATTACATATTTTTTTGTAGCCGTTTATTATCATTTGGTTTTGACTGGCAAGATAAAACGCGACCTTCAACCTGTAATATTCGACAGGACATTTTGACACTACATAAACATAAAAGGAGAAAAAACACCTTAACTTATGAGAGTAACTATAAAATATCACCTAAATATTTTCTGTATATCGCATAGAAATACGCCAAATATCAAAACTAATTACAGTTTGCAGCGATCTAAAGATATGAAGCAATAATTCCGAGCCTACCTCCAGCTAGAAGGTGCCATTTTTCGTGCCCTGACAGGGGATCGAGAGCGGAAAGGCCAGCTAGTTCCAGTCCTACTCCGCATCACAGCTGACCCAGAGAGTGCGTATGGGCGATTCAACGCCCTAGCTTCTTACGCCCTGCTTTTGAGGGTAGAGACAAGGGTGATCTTTTATATAGACATTTTTCTGGCCCGGGACACCATGGTCTTGAGGATGTTAGTATAAGTTCAAGTTCAAGTTCATTTATTCACACTTATTTAATTACAATACAACAATAAGGGAAAAAAAAGGAAGAAGTAAAAAACAGAGCTAACTATACATTGAATTAAACATAAAAAAGGAAGAGTGTGTAGCAGCCAAAGGAGCCAAGCTTTCGAGTTGGCTACTACCACAGAGCAGTTACAAGTGGGTGGAGGTTATACGGTACTATATTAAAAAAACTATTTAAATTAAATAATTAAATAAATAGAGCTAAGTGACAGATTAGAGTTGTTTAAGATGCCTGACTGTCAAGTAGAAAGAGTTTATATTCTTTTTTAAAACTGTTCAAGGGGAGACACTTAATTTTCGTAGGTGTAGCTTCCCAGGTCTGTGATGCCACTACACCAAACCTTGCTAGGCCATAATTAGTTCTGGAAAACGGTCTGCACAGGTTTTGATTAGTGGCATACCTAGTATTATAATTATGGACAGCTGAAGCCTGTTGAACTAAGTCATAGAGGGCAGGAGGTGTATCCTTTTTTTGATATTGAATTTTATGCACAAGAGCCCCAATTTTTGATTTAAAGATATTCTCTAACTTTAAGATTTCTAATAGTGTAAAGTACGGTGTAGGGCTTTCTCTTTTATTTGCAAAGAAGATGCAGCGAATACAGTTATTTGGACTTACTTTAATTTTATTTAACTTAGTTTGGTATGCGGTATCCCAGCTCATTAATCCATACGTTAGATACGGATAAATGAGAGTATAGTACAGTTGTTTGAGTGAACTTATAGGCACATAATGTCTAAGCTTAAATAAAATTCCAATGTTTTTTGTTATTTTGTTGTTAATGTGCTGGAGCTGAGCATCCCATTTTAGATGTTCATCAATAAAGACACCCAAATATTTAATGTGGGACTTTTGCTCTATATTTCAAGCTGTTATTGTGATATATGTTTTCTTCTTAGGTGAAGTAATTATCATGTAGATATATATATTCTTTTTTTCCATCACGCTTAGTGCTTCATATTATCTTGGTGATACTCTACGGGACCTTGAGGAATGATAACAGTCAGTTATCGACTGACAGAGAATAAGACATGTTTTAGAGGTCATTGAAGTTTTTTTAACTCGGCCTATTGGCAGATAAACACCTCTGGGCTTTTCTCTTGCAGCATGAAATGCTGCAAAACGTTAACTCTTGTGGGGAAGTTTTTTTTAACACTCAGTCTGAAAGTGACATTGTTGAGTGACTTTTTTTGCCGTCACTGCACGACTACGACGTGAAAATGCCTAATTTCAAGCTTTACAGAGGCGACGACGAAATTTCCTGGCTATTTCTGAACTTGGACATGGTTCTTAGGAATTCACTTTTAGGAGGGTTCACCTACATTTGACAAAGTTAGTGACTTGGAGTAATCGCGATGAAGATTGAAAGAACGCGAATTCACTTTTTCAGAGACGTTTTCGCTGCCTTCGCCGTCCTCGCATCTTAAGGTCCCTGATGACTCCGGCGGGGGAGGGGGAGGGGGCGTTGAGGCTGGGGGAGGGAAACTCTAAAATGGAGCAAAGGGGACCTAGCTCTAAGCATACCCCCTGCGTTTTAGCTGTGCGTCTGCCTTGGAGATACATTTCGCCCATAGTTTCGAGGAACCGTCTATTAAAAAGATTGCAAGCCCGTACGTTTGCGTCCGTCTGGAACGCTCGAGCAGTAAAACCAATGATCCTGCCCCTGGCAACTTGAAAAAAAAAACGCTTTATGAGAAAAAAAAAAAAGGCCGTTCGCACCAATTGAAAGCTATTTTTTCTTGCATTACTATTGAGTATCTGAAAATGAACAGTTTTATATACGTAGTCCTCGGGGCGGTACCTGGTGAATATATCACATACCCCTTTCCAGGTAAATAACCCTTACATAAGCGTAGGATGTAAGACATACTTGCGGAAACGCTTCAGCCTAACGTGAGATACCCAGGCACAAAAAAATAACATTTGGCACTGCTAATGTTGGCTCCCTCCAAAAATAAAGCGCGAGAAGGTGGGGTTGAAAAGCGAGATATTCGGATACCTTCGGATTATTGATAGAAGTTATTACCAGTCCTCGAACTTTCTCTTGAGTTTTTCGAAAGTATTTGTTCTCTTAGAAAATCCAGAATTTCTAAATTTCTTGATAGTTTTATACAAACGCTAATTATGAGATTCGTTTTCTTCCTTCTTAACGATAAGTTAAATAGGTCAAGAAAAAAATAGCTTTCAGTTAGTTAAAATAAGTTTCTTCAAGGCGCGAACTTTGGTTTCCACGCTCGAGCTTTCCTGACGGACGCAAATATACGGGCTTGCAATCTCCTTTAAAAGGTTACTCGAAATTATGGGCGAAATGTATTGCCAAGGCAGACGCAATGCTAAAAGGCAGGCGGTATGCTTAGAGCGGTTTGCTTATGCTTAGAGTCCCCTTTGCTCCATTTTAGAGTTTCCCCTCCCCACCCAGCCTCTCCCCCGCCCGCCGGAGTAGGTAGGTAGGTAGGTAGGTAGCAACTTTATTTACTGAGGGTGACACATGACAGTAAACACTGATGAACTAGTGGCCCTCAATCGTAATTAAAGTATTTAGAACTAATAAAAATAGACACGACGAATTAAAATTTAAAAATGCTATAAGATACAATCCTAAATTTACGATATTAAAAACTATTAAGATAAACACAGCGAATTTAAAAATACTATAAGAAAAGAAAAAGTGATTTGTACATTAGAATTTAAAAATATGAAAACATATCTACACATAAGAACTAGGCTAAAAAATATTTTTTAAGAGCATTCTTAAAACGCGCCAGCGGTGTCCTTCTTTCGCATATCAAGAGGAATCCTATTCCACAGCGTAGCTCCACGAACTTAAAAAGTACGCTCTATTATAAAAAGGACATACCAAATTAAACTTTCCATAACGGCTAGCTCTGCTGTCGCTCCTGAGATCTGAGTTTCTAGGTAATAGTTTCGTTATATAGTCTAGGCAGTCATCTTCGTTTCTTATGCGCCTAAATATTAAACTACACTGTTGAAGATTGACTTAGTCCTTAAACGGCAACCAATCAAGCCGTCTAAAAAGGTCTTTACTCCAATCTCTTATATTTGCATCTAAAATTACCCGAGTTGTCTGCTTTTGCAGTTTAAATACACATATTCTCTTCCGTTGCCGTAGTGCTTGCGCAAGATCCACTCAATAAGATGGGCTTAATCAATGCATTAAAAACAGCTTGCGCACTGCTAGGGGCAAATTACGCTTAATTTTTTTAAGTACAGCAATCCTTTGTGCCACTGTCTTGCAAAGATTATTAACATGTTCATTAAAATTTAGGTGGCTGTCTAATGTTACCCCAAGTAGTTTCTGTGAAGTGACTTACTCAATCTCGCTACCGTTACATGCAATTTTCCGAGCCCTGTTTGAAATTTTCTTCTCCAAGCGCTTACCAGTTACAAGCAGAGTTTTTGTCTTTAGCACCATCCTACTTTCAGATGTTCAATCAGCTATTCTGTTTATGTCTTCCTGCAGTCGCTGCTGTACTACAGGTACAGTCATAAGGGGCGCTTATACGGGCGCGATTCAGGTGTACTTGACATTTTCTATCAAACTGCTCATGCCCTTTTTCTGGCTTGAAATTTGCCATAAGCCAAAATTTTGCCCAAACGTTGCTCAGAAAAGCAAAACTTGCTCGAGGTTGCCAGAATTGCAGAAAATTTTGCTTTAAACACCAGAGGTGCTCACAAATTTTCGCAGGTTTTCTAGCCCCGACTTAGCTAGTCTGAAATGTCATGCGTTTCTTGGTCCCACCCCGAAACGGGCTGCTAACATTTCAGACTACGACTTAGCACTTTTTTGCCCTCAATTTCATTTTTAAGTAATTAATAATCGTATTTCAAAACGAAACTGTTGTACAATAGGCTTTTTAACAGCTTAAATGTACAAGCAGACGTTTATGAAAAACCAAAGTTTATTAGGCCCACCACTTCAATAGTCTCTTGAGGAAAATTTTTTTAGTGTTACATTTTCAGGGTCACTCTAACGGATAAGTCAGTGAAACTAAGGATTTTGATTATTTACATATTTCTCTTTTATTGAGCTATTCTGAAAAAATAGCTCATATGTCAGTAGTATGAGCGTATGTATCTTTTTGGCTTTGTATCGTTGTAGCTTTGTATGTTCGGATGTTTGTTGCAAGAGCCAATAAGGTTGAAGGTACTATGAGTTGATGCTTAGAAACCAATGAGATCTTGGCATCTACTTAAACATGACATTGCTAAAGGTCAAACAAGGGCATTTTGAAACCGCCATCTTGATTCTTGACAATTTTTTCGTCTTTTATTACGGCTACAAGTGCTTGGAAACATTATATTAAATATCTTCATGATTCAAACGCTGTGTATAGTGATGCAGCCGTTTAAGGGTTCATATTTTAGTGCGGATGCTACTTTAAGACATCTCTGACCGAATTCGTCTATCGCGAACGGTACTGACGCACGTATTTATGAGTTGTGTTTCACTTGCTTCAAGGTAGAGTATAAAAGATCATTTATGTCCCCTTTCACGAATATGGTAAAATAATACCAACTCCAAGTGCACTTAATGTCAACAGCCAAGCTTAGTTTGCTAGAGTCCATATAAAATAGCAACAAACCGTTGGGATTAAAATTCTGGCCATTCCAGATGGCCGCTTTTATTTACATAACTAAGAAATCCAAGAAATAAGAAACTAAAAGTAATTTATTTAAGCTCTAGCAAAGGTGAGGGCCACGATAAAAGGCAAAACTTAATGTAGACCAAAAACTTAATTACACATTGGAGGAGAAATGGGGTGGAGGTGGGTTGATTTCTTGAACGTCCGAAGATTGAGCTTGCAAATTGTGAGTGGAATTGAAGTTGTTCACCTTATAACTCCTCGAGAAAGACGATCATACGATTGTGTAATTTTACTGAAAACGTGGAGAGTAAAATTACTGCACATGTTGAGTAAATGTACGGAACGAGGACTATAGTAATTTTACTGAACGTGTTCCAGGGATATAAGTGGTCCCTGAGATCTCCTGATTATCTTGTGATCGTTACTTTACATGACTGTACCTTTTGCCTATTATATAGTAAGTAGCAAAGGTCAAGAGAATCACCTGTACATGTCGACGAACATTATCAGGTCTCAAAATTAACCACCTCGACCCTACTTTAAACCGTGTACATAACTACATATTATTGTGTAGGTGACAAATTTTTTTATTTGCGAGCAAATAAACTCATTTATGTCCCCTTTCACGAATATGGTAAAATAATACCAACTCCGAGTGCACTTAATGTCAACAGCCAAGCTTAGTTTGCTAGAGTCCATATAAAATAGCAACAAACCGTTGGGATTAAAATTCTGGCCATTCCAGATGGCCGCTTTTATTTACATAACTAAGAAATCCAAGAAATAAGAAACTAAAAGTAATTTATTTAAGCTCTAGCAAAGGTGAGGGCCATGATAA